GTTCTACCGTGGCGACAAGCAGCATACATGGCATGCTCGCGTGGGTAGCTTTCCATCGGTCCGTCCTTCGGCGGTATCCCAAATATAATCAGAGCCGAAACTCTGCAAAACGCATATGAATCCTGCACGCTCCAGCTTGTCCAACCCTCAACCTGATACCCTACACCGTAAGCGCCGGACGCGTGGAGGAAGTGCCCGGCCCTGGGCCTTGCAGCAATGTTTTGGAGTGTCAGTGGAAGCGACAAAAGTACAGTATGCGTAGGCAGGTCACCTTACCCTGCCTTGCCTTGCCCTGCCTTTGCCTTGCCCTGCCCTTGCCCTGCCCTGCCCTGCCCTGCCCTGCCCTGCCCTGCCCTGCCCTGCCCTGCCCTGCCCTGCCCTGCCCTGCCCTGCCCTGCCCTGCCTTGCCTTGCCTTGCCTTGCCTTGCATTACATTAAAGTGCCTTGCATAGCATCCATTACACTTGTCTCTACATCACACGCAGGTGTAATATGCGTATGTACATACAACACGCACGCACAAGCATGCATGCATGCATGCATGCTTTGACACGGGTGGTTCACCTAAGTGTATGCATATGTGTAGATAAAATGTGTATATGGATATACACAGCTTACAGGCTCGTTCAGAGACGACGAGACAGAGATACACCTGGATGGTTCAGCGGAAGATAAACAAGCAACATCAGCACACAGATGGACGGAGAGCGAAAGAGGGTGCGGTATTGATGACAAACCATGTGGTTCGTGCGTCCGCATGTGCGATCGCCCGTTGGTTTGTGTGTGGAAAATGATCAAACAGGTGGCAAGTTAGGTTTGGTTTAGGGTTAGGGTCAGGTTAGATGACGCAGATAGATAGGTAGATTGACAGCTGGCAAGACGGGCACACAGGCAAACAGACAGACAAAAAGCACAGAAAGACACACCGATAGATATGTAGATGGATAGGCAGCTAGATAGGTAGATACATAGGTAGATAGATAGGCTGATAGATAGTTAGATCGACAAACGGACAGATAGATAGGTATCGATACAGGGAGAGATGTCCACAGACAGATGGATAGATGGATAGATAGACAGATGGCTAGGCATGTAGATAGAGAGGCAGACAGACAGATCGGTAGCTATGTAGGTAGGCTGATAGATATAGATAGTTAAGTAGATAGATATACAAACAAGATAGATAAGTAGACGATGATACCAAGACAGATAGTGAGAGAAAAATACACAGAGCAATGGACAGCCTGGTTGATACACGGGCAAGTCGGTAGGGATATGAAGGTAGCCGGAGAAGTAGATAGCTCAATGGCCAGATAGCAGATGGGCTAACTAGGCAGAGAGACAGACTTGATTCAGGCAGGACTTCAGGTGGAAGTTGGAAGATACTGCGGTACGCTTCCGGCCCTTGCTACATGCCCTAAGCAACTTTCAATCCTTGAAGCTGTGCAGGGCTTGCGGACGGGGGCGGGGCGCGGGGGTCGGTGGTCGGTGGCGGCAAGTGGCACTAGACGTAATCATGAACATACTTAGCTGTGGCCGTTGCTATGTTTTCGTCCTGCAATGTGCAATGTAACGTCTTAGGGTTCCTAACGTAGGTTTTGGGGCTACTGTCACGGCACTGCTGAGCTTGTAAGTGCCGGCATGCCTCATCTACGAAGAGCAGGATCGTCCCATAGACGTTCAGGACTCGGCACGAGCAAGGGTTTGTGGGCATCCACAAAGGGATCCACAAAGTACCCGATCAACGGTTGACAAGGGCCCGTGAACCTTAAACGCAAAATCCCGCTCCAACGCCCTAGGCGCCTTAACCTCTCAACCCGAACCCCCCCCCTCCCCCGCCCCCCGCGCCCTACACCGCTGACGAGGTTGCTCGAAACCCTGAGCCCTCAACGGCTCCAACCCCAAAAACTCCACAAAGCATCAACAGGCTTGTTATATTGGGGTTTGCATAAGAAGTATGTAGCAGCATCTCAGCGCAACCTTTAATTAGCAGAAGGCGGAAGTATATGAAACCGTAGACACTACATTACTTATATCGCTTACTATGGCCCCGATACCAGTCGTTTCAAGCTGTGGGCTGTGGGCGTAAGATTTTGTCGGTGCTTCCAGGTCCAGTCTAAGAAGTTTCTGGATTCAAAGATCGGTCAGGGTTTAGGGTTTAGGGTTTTACAATTTTTTTGGTTTAGGGCTTCGGAATTTAATCCGGGCTTGGGTTATGAAAAGACTCTTCACAGTCGCTTGGTTGAGCAACATAGCTTAAAATGGAAGGGAGATTCCCTCTAACTACGGGGGGTTGAGAGTCTCTGAAGAGAGCAGGCAAGGATCTGGATGTCAAAGGGTTTGGGGGTTTGGGGTTTTAGGGGTTTAGGGTTTAGGGGTTTAGGGTTTAGGGTTTAGGGTTTAGGGATCCGAGACATGTTTAGTGCGGAGCTGGTGGACTTCTTTCCCGTCTACTTCTTTGGAAGGCTCCGGCTTGAATCTCAAAGTGGTTTCAAAAAGAGGTTACTGGAAGTTCAATCTTTCGGGGTTTAGGGTCTTCCCTAGACCCCACATACCCGAAATCCCCCTAAACCCTAAACCCTAAACCCTAAACCCTAAACCCTAAACCCTAAACCCTAAACGCTAAACCCTAAACCCTAAACCCTAAACCCTAAACCCTAAACATCCCTGGTAAGGTTCTTGAGGCTCTAGACCGTCTCGAACTGTCGGGATGAGTCTTGAGGTTTTGGGGCTCAGGTTCGAGGGATTAGGCTTAGACTTTAGGATCTTGGGGTTTGTGGTTTGGGGTTACTCGTTTAGGTGGAAAAGAAAAACGGATCGGGTTTAGGATTTGCGAAGGGGGGGGGCAGCATTAATCAAGCCGATGAACCTGAAGAGCTCTGAGCGGCTTGGAACGGCAGGGGTGGGGCCCAGGCAGATTCGAAAGAAAAGGAAGGTGAAGAAGAAGATGGTACCCGCAACAATCACCTCGAAAATGCTCGCTCTCTGACTTAAAAGCTCCTCATCAGGCTGTTCAGGCAGAGCTTCGCTTGTGGGGCTGATGATGGCTTTCAAGGTGATAGAGAAGACTTTCTTGGGCTTTGCAAACTATTGAAAAACCCTACACCCCTCAACAATAAAGTCTAAAACCCTGCACCGACCCGCTTATGTTTCTGCGATTGCTGGTGTTTACCTGAAGTCAACAAAGACCTTGTGGTCGTCGTAGCGAGTCGTGTAGAAACCCTCTAGGACTCTGTTAGATTCCTCGCCGGAAGCCTTTGAAGGACCCGTTGTAAGGCAGGCCCCAACATTCTAAGAAGGTCTTCAGAGAAGGCTGCAAGGTCTATGTAGGCTTTGCCAGCACTTTACTTTGCAAAGGTAGTGTTTTGTGAAGTCCTGCTCCGGCTGGAACATCTTCATGCCGGGGCTTAGGTCTACGGTTCAGGGTGGGTTTAGGGTTGAGGGTTTAGGGTTTAGGGTTTAGGGGTCTATTTCTTCTGAGCAGAAGCAGGGTCAGGAAGCAGCTTGCTGCCATAGTTACTTACAATCTCTGGGATTCTTTGTCGCAGGCTGAGGATTTACGGCTGGGGAAGCCATGGATGCTAGACGCCTTCTAAACCGGCGGCCCTCAACATCTCCGGCTGCGGCTCCGGCTCCGGCTCCGGCTCCTGCTCCTCCTCCTCCTACTCCTACTCCTACTACTAGTACTAGTACTAGTACTAGTACTAGTACTAGTACTAGTACTACTACTACTACTACTACTACTACTACTCGTCCTGCTCCTCCTGCTGCTGCGGCTTCTGCTACTGCTACTGCTACGACGCTACGACGACTACGACGACGAGCTCACATCCACAACGGTCAGGGGTCAGTAATGCCCAGCCTTACAAGACATCACATTCTTCTTCTTCAATACTGGGGGCTGTGATGAGTAGATAAGTTTTGTGCTGTTTTATACGATACATATAATAAGGAGCCGTAGATATTCACCCCCTATATTGGGTTCAGGGCTGCATGCGGTTCACCGTTTCTGAAACTAACCTAGACCTGAGCAGTAGTGACAGGTGCAGATTATCGGTCTAGGGATATTTAGGGTTCAGGGATTAGGGTTTAAGGTTATCGGTTCCGGGATACTTAGGGTTAGAGTTTGGTTGCCGGGTTTAAGGTTATCATTTGACAGATGTTTAGGGCTTGTGACAGACTATGATTTCGTTGCCTGGGCCTTCGCCTCCAATGCATGTGGTGATCGGCGATTGCGCTGAAATTTGACCTACCTATGATTAGTTAAGCTGCCCCTATCCGCGAAGCTTCGCCAAGGCCTGGAGCTTGTATCGCTCGCCGCGGTGGCGGAATATCATCACCCAATTCAAGAACGGCGTTGACCTCAGTCATGAACACCCACTGGTTGTTGCTTTTCAGCACACATGACTACATCATCGCTGATTTGCCCTGGATGCCTGCCGAAGCGATATTGAAGACACTCTGTGAGAACTCAGGTCGTGCGGAAGAGATTCATTGCGCGGGGACAGATCTGCGTAGACGAGAAATGGATGCAACAAGCAGGCATGGCACATCCCCTTCCACACTCAGCACACATGGGCACGTCGTTGCTGAGTAAGCCTGGATGCCTGACAAATCGACATTGAAGACACTCTGCGAGGCTTCAGTGTGTGCCGAGGAGGTTCATTACACAGGAAGAGATGCCAGACGACGAAGTGCATGCAGCAAGCAGGCAGGGCACATCCCTTTCCATCGCCTTCCGCATAAGTTCGCAAGCCAGACCAGCACGGTTGCGAGTCTAGCCCAGGAGCATGATACTTGTTCACACCAGGTCGATGCGAGGACGCGTGGGTAAGTAGTTACCACGGCTCACACAAAAAGCGCGCTGATGCGTGTTTTGCTACTGGGGTTCACATGGAGCGCAGTGCATACCAGCACGTTTGCGAGTAAGCACTAGCACTGCCCGGAATCAACCCGGACGTGTCCTTGGAGCTGCTTCTGTACAAGAACCCCACATCCGCCTACAATGACTTTGTAACACGAGTGTTGGACATGTTCGGGCTAGAGACATGAATGAATGTCCGCTTCACCACGACCTCTTCTAAAGCTTCTTCAGCGACCATTGCATCCGTCACTTCATCCCAGCAGACTGGTAGGTCTCGGGTCTCTCGCAGTCGCACTTTTTGGCTGCTGGGTATGGCCTGCAAGGCTTTCACGACCAGTCTCTCGAGATCTTCTGCCACCACCACTTGTGAGGACTTGAAAGACACGCCTTTGTGCTGCTGCTCTTGAACTGCTTCCCGAACGCTCTCATACTGCTCCGGATGTACGAAATCTTTGATACCAGAAGCCAATACTGCCTCATATCCTCTTTCATGCAAAGCTGCACGAACATCTGCGAGCGCGGGCCCTTCCAGCAAAGCATGTCGGAAACATTCTGGGCATCGGGAAAAGCTCAGAAGGACTATGCGGGGTTCATCCGCATGGAAATTCTTTACCATGTCATGGCTCAGCCTTGCATTGGCCTCTGCTGCTTCAAGCAAAACAGAGGAGCTAGCCATAGGCTCAGCCTCTAGGCTGTCACTGTAACCTGTCCCCTGCCATGCGTCAGGATCATTGCGCTCTTTCTCCATCGATTCGATGAGCCTGTCGAGCTCACGAAGGCACTGCTCGGAATGGTTCAGGCCCGAACTGTCTGAGAATGTCCCATCCACACGTCCAGTGGAACGCATCTGGCCCATGAGGCGCAAGTCATGGAGCAAGCGCGGATGAATATGTTCCAACCCTTCAGGGCAGCGACGCAGGCAGAACATGTATGCAAAGAAGACCTGTGCCCAGTCCTTGGTGCGGTTCTTCTTGGCGATGCGAGCGTGGTTTTTGAATTGCTCACTGTACATGGCCTGGGTTGCCCGGCAGAACATGGACTGGAATAGGGATGCATCTTCTACTTGTAACTTTGCGAATGCCCAGGCAGCATTGCACACGTCCTGGCTGACTGCGAACAAAGACTCTGTCTGCCTGATCAATTTAGCAACAGACCCAAGGGCGGCCTCGTCACAGAATCCCGTTCTGGCAAACGCCCAGCATACGGTTGAAAGGACTTGAGGATCAAGCTGTGAGGCCTTGAGCTTTAGATATGCTACGCACTCCGAAAACAAGGCCTCATGCTTGAAAGACCTTCTTCCACATGCCCACATCATCATGGTCACCTCTTCCATGGCCACGGAAAACTCTCGCAGGCGGAGTGCAAGAACGTCCAATCCTCGCAGCCATGGCCTGTAAGATCCTCTCCTCTCGGAGCATGAACATAGCTCTCAGCAACGCGGGAAAAACAGACTGTGAAGACTCGCTGCAAGGCTCATTGATGATGGAAACGCAGGCATGCACCAGTTTCACGAATGATGGGTCGGTGCGGACGGATGCTTGGGTGTTCCGAGGCTGATACTCATTGGAAGAACCGTCGTAGTGAGAGGTTTTGTCTGCCAGCAAGTGGAAAGCGAAGACGACATCAATGGCATCGAAATCGCTAATCCGCTGTTCAACGAGCTGCAAGATCTCTTCAGTTGTCGCAGCCCTTTGCAAAAGAGGGCGAATGGAATGGCAGGCTACTTCGGCAGCCATCTCTCCGTATGCATTGCGAATGGACGGATCGGCGCCAAGTTGAAGCAACTCCTCTTTCAAGGACTCGCGCTTGTTCCATGAAGCCAAGTGGAGCGGCGTGCATCCATCCTCCCGCTGCACATCCAAGCTGAACCCATAGGTGGTCACGAGAGAACGAAGAACGCGAGACTTGCCTTTCTTCACCAGCTCGTGGAGAATCATGGGCCTGTTCTTGATCTCAATCACGACGGCCTTCAAAGACTGCAACCCAAACTGTTTGACGAGATTCGGGAAGGTTGTCAGCATCTTATCCTCCTCACTTTCGCGCAACCAGTTCCGGACTGCCTTGTCGAGTGCCATACCTACACTGGCAGAGGCCCTGAGCCCAGCTGTGACTACGGTCGGCGAGGCACAGTGGACCTATAGCCCCCGAACATGACGTCAGTCCGAAGGACCAAATCTGAAAAATGAACATGAACTGGACGACTTGATTTACAGAAGCCGGACGCCTGGAGCACGAACCGTGATGCCGCACCATCAGTTGCAATGAACTTTGCGACACTGCTGGTGTTCTTGGGGGGTCTGCCAGCCATTTTTGCCTTTTGTGTGCTGTAAGCACAATGCGTAGAATCCAAGAACACGAACAAACAGCTCCGACGACCTTGCTGCCCCAGCAGTCATCCAGCAACAGGCGCCAATCCCTCCGATCCCTGTGAACACTCTTAAGTATGGGCTTCTGAAGCCCGAAAATGCCGAAACCCCCAAAAGATCTGAGCTCCGAACACCTCCATGGACATGAGAATGGCAGCATTCAGCGGCAGCATCTTGGCGAAGGGCGATACGGATGCCAGACAAAGCCAGTACAGATTCTTTAGGGCTCACGGTTTAGAGCTGTTTCCGGGCTTCGTGGATCCGTACTATCCGGTGTTTTGGCGGGCTTTGGTAAAACAGACCCAGATTTGTCAAAGGACGACTAGTTACGCAAAGCCGTGGCGGAACCCTAAACCCTACCGAAACCCTCAACCCTAAAGCCCAAAACCCTAAAACCCAGAACCCTAAAACCCTAAACACTAAACCCCAAGCCCTAAATCCTAAACCCCAAACCCCAAACCCTAAACCCTACCGAAACCCTCAACCAATGATATCAGAGCAGCACCCTTGAGCATTCAAAGAGTACATTGGCCGGCCCGGAGGCTCAAATATCCCTCCACCTCGGTTTACAGCTTAGGGTTTGGGTTTAGGGTTTGGGGTTTGGGGTTTGGGGTTTAGGATTTAGGGCTTGGGGTTTAGGGTTTAGGGTTTTAGGGTTCTGGGTTTTAGGGTTTTGGGCTTTAGGGTTGAGGG